AACTAAATATCTGCAACATTCCATTATCAGAAAGTGAAGAATACGACATTTGATGAATTCTTTCGATGTATTCGTTATTAAGGGTTTCACTGTACGTACAATATATTACTTCCATCTTCCTATTCCACTGTTTTATGGGTCTCCCTGTAGTTTAAATTTTGCTGAACATACAGTGTTGTGCTGATCAGAAAGACCCGGAATTAATTTGCATTGAATCAGAGAACTCTATAACCTAATTTTAAGAAAATGATTGATAAAATGATGATTACAAAATGTTCAAAATGTGTTCCGCCTTTTTTGAGCATTTAAAATTAACATTTATAATATATGATTATGACTGTACAAAGAATGAAAAACAAATTTGTTGAATAAAACTTAAAATCAGGAAGCTCTAAGTCATCCGTACATCAAGAACGCCCCTTGGGCCAAGCCTAGTGAGGTCAGTTGAAAAACATTATTAAAGGGACTGTACGCGTCATTTTAAGTGACCCTTCATTCCAAGGTGGCAATGCCAGTGTTACAACGGTAACCTTTGAACCTAAATCTGATCAGAAACACGGAAGATAGCGTAGTTTCTGACGCGGAAAAGTTGATATTTTCTCCATTGTTTTATGTTTGCAAGAAATGCGCAAGTCACTGTAGAAAAACCGCAAATTAATAGATAAGGTTAAAAAAACACTGGATATCTAATTGAAATTATGCTTACAGTTAATTGTTGACAATCATTATCGACGACCCTTTGTTAACGACAGTGTTTCGGATCCATATCATTTTGATTCGGATTCGGATCCGAGGTAACTTTTGATTCTGTGAATCGGATTTTCCCTATTAAATGTTATGCAAGGTTATAATTTATAAACTATAGTAATCCTAAAGTTAAAAATGTCGTCATTACTATTATATAAATGTAAACATTAAATTATTAAAGATAATTTTGAAAAATTTTCGTCATGTAAATAATACATTTACGAACCATTTTGATTTATTTATTCCATGGTTTTGGTTAATTTTTGGCGCTACCCGGATCCATATCAACGTTTCCTGATACGGATCCGGATCCGACCAAATGATACGGATCCGACCGGATCCGGATACGAAACACTGGTTAACGATCATTACCAACCTTTTTAAACAAAAAAAAAATCTTTTTTGGGTCAGAAAACTCCCAAGTCATAAGCGAAAAAAAATTTAAAAACGATTGTATTATTGTTTATATTTCGTTTTTTTAAGTTTAAAAAGCATGGTTCCTTCGTTGTGACCCATCATTTTTTCACCCGTTTTTAAAACGATTAACAGTACTAACCCTAATACACGTGTTTATGCATGCAGTGTAATATGATCTACAGCTGTTAATTCTAGCCTGCCTGGGTTTGTCAGTTTAAAATATTTATGACTGCACAGTGCACACCATGCTATTGAATTTCTGGGATTATCATTACTTGTATTTTTTATTTTAGTTTTTTATTTTATTAAAAGTTCCATTACCAAATTATGTAAATTCTTTAAAACTTGCCCAGATTCTAACTAACTGGTTAGATGGTTAGAAATTTTTGTGACTTAAATTTTCGATCTGTTTTTTTTTGGGAGGCTCCATAAAAATGAGTGAAGTCTACAAATATGAAAACTAAATTTTCTTAAATGTGCAGTTGTTTTTTCTTCCCTTCTTTTACCTTGCTTCAATTGTTAGATATAAACTCTTAAGAAGAACATTTTTGAATGAAGCCCAACCTTATACGGTCACAATTTGTTCGGTTGGAACTTAAAAGTGATATGGGGAAAATGTAATTAGATTAAACTGATGTGCGCGCAGTTAAAAAAAAAAAGTTTGCTGATTTTATCTTTTTTGGCAATCGGTTACTTTTTAGGGTAGAAAATAAGTTATTAAAAATATAGGAAAATGTATTAAAGCTTAGAAAACATTTTGGTGAGTCCAATATTTGATTTTTTCCGAGCTTTGAGCTTCGGAACGGATTAATTTCTGCAAACAAACAGAAAAAAATTTCTTATTCAGTTTGAGTGATTCCTGCCTTTGCTGTAGAGTGTCCTTTCTTGGTCTGACTTCTTCCTGGGAATCTCTCTAATTCTCCAACCAATCTTAGTTCTAACCTGATCTCTGATCCTCCAACCAGTCTAAGTTCTAAACCTGATCTCTGATCCTCCAACCAGTCTTAGTTCTAAACCTGATCTCTGATCCTCCGACCAGTTTTAGTTTAACCTGATCTCTGATCCTCCAACCAGTCTTAGTTCTAACCTGATCTCTGATCCTCCAACCAGTCTTAGTTCTAACCTGATCTCTGATCCTCGAACCAATCTTAGTTCTAAACCTGATCTCTGATCCCCAACCAGTCTTAGTTCTAACCTTATCTCTGATCCTCCAACCAATCTTAGTTCTAAACCTGATCTTTGATCCATCAACCAGTCTTAGTTCTAACCTGATCTCTGATCCTCCAACCAGTCTTAGTTCTAACCTTATCTCTGATCCTCCAACCAATCTTAGTTCTAAACCTGATCTTTGATCCATCAACCAGTCTTAGTTCTAACCTGATCTCTGATCCTCCAACCAGTCGTAGTTCTAAAACTGATCTCTGATCCTCCAACCAATCTTAGTTCTAACCTTATCTCTGATCCTCCAACCAGTCTTAGTTCTAACCTGATCTCTGATCCTCCAACCAGTCTTAGTTCTAAACCTAATCTCTGATCCTCCAATCAGTCTTAGTTCTAAACCTGATCTCTGATCTTCCAACCAGTCTTAGTTCTAAACCCAATCTCTGATCCTCCAACCAGTCTTAGTTCTAAACCCTAATCTCTGATCCTCTAACCAGTCTTAGTTCTAAACCTAATCTCTGATCCTCCAACCAGTCTTAGTTCTAAACCTGACATTGCAAATTCTGTGTATATTATTATATGACTAAAGACTATGAATAATTTCAGAAAAATGACTAGAGCTGTTTGAATTTTTTCCAGTCCACTGAGTCCTTGTTTGCAGGTTTCATCAGGCAAGCATATAATTGATGTGTTTGGGGTTTTCTGTCGGTGCTTAGGATCCATTTAATTTTGATGCGGATACGGATCCGCACTGGAAACAAATGGATTCTGATCCAAATCCGGATCCCGATCCAGGTCATTTTATTAAGATTTACTGAATTTTTCTAAAAAAAAAAATTTTTTAAAAAAAATTTTTTGTTTTATTTTTTTCGCATATTTTTATCCTAAAACTCGATGAACCATTCAGAAATGAGGAAATATTTGTAATCTCTTTTTTTCCAAATTTCAGATTTTCGTTTTAGGAGTAAAAAAGTTCTTTTTGCAGGTTTGGTTGATATTTTACTCCTTGGATCCGGATCCTTGGATCCAGATCCGTGGATCCGCATATTTTTTGCGGATCCGGATCAGGATCCAGGAAGCCAAAATCTTGCGGATCCAACGGTTCCGGAACCTAAGCTGGTTTCAAGGGAATTCATAATATTTGCATATAATGTATATTTTCTGGAAAAATCATATTCTTCCTCCCCCCCCCCCCCTCCCTTCAAAAATACTTTTCTTTTAATACCCAGAAGTAAAAAAATGTTACGGGTTTATTTCTCTGAATTGGTGAAAATAAATTAATGTTTGGGTTAAAAGTATCAAAAAGAATGAATAAAGTTGCCTTGTAATATCTAATTTTATATTTATTTTCCTTAATCATAAAATCATTGGGGGGGGGGGGGATTTTTTAAAAATATAAACCCCTGACTCATTAAGCTTTCTGATTAATTAAAGAAAATAAAAATTACAAGCAAAACTAAATATTTTATCTTAACTTGACACAAAGAAAAATAAATTTCATATATCTAATATTAACCGAAAACCCAAGTACTGCAGATTTTAAAGTTCTCTTTTATTCCTGAATTGAACTCTGCTATATATTTAGATCCAGCTGTCCGGTGTTAGTGTTGAGATAATCCTGAAATGAATTCCTAGAAGGACGTAATGGCTCGTATGGAAATTTACACTTGTGTCAATAAAGAAAAAGGATGCAATTGGACTGGAACCAAGTTTAATGTATATGAACATCAGGAATTTATGTGTGACCACTACACTTGTGTCAATAAAGAAAAAGGATGCAACTGGACTGGACAAAATTTCAATGTTTTGAATCATCAGGAAAGTTGTCAACGCTATTCTTCTGCCAATAAAGAAAAAGGATGCAACTGGACTGGACAAATGCACAATGTTTTGAATCAAGAGGAAATTAGTAATCACTATATTTGTGTCAATAAAGAAAAAGGATGCAACTGGACTGGACAAAAGCACAATGTTTTGAATCATCAGGAACATTGTGAACACTTTTCTTGTGTCAATAAAGAAAAAGGATGCAACTGGACTGGACAAAAGCACAATGTTTTGAATCATCAGGAACATTGTGAACACTATTCTTGTGTCAATAAAGAAAAAGGATGTAACTGGACTGGACGAAAGCACAATGTTTTGAATCATCAGGAATATTGTAAACGCTATATTTGTGTCAATAAAGAAAACAGATGCAACTGGACTGGACGAAAGCACAATGTTTTGAATCATGAGGAATATTGTAAACACTATATTTGTGTTAATAAAGAAAAAGGATGCAACTGGACTGGACGAAAGCACAATGTTTTGAATCATCAGAAATATTGTAAACACTATATTTGTGTTAATAAAGAAAAAGGATGCAACTGGACTGGTCGAAAGCACAATGTTTTAAATCATCAGGAATATTGTAAACGCTATGTTTGTGTTAATAAAGAAAAAGGATGCAACTGGACTGGACGAAAGCACAATGTTGTGAATCATCAGGAACGTTGTGAACACTATATTTGTTTCAATAAAGAAAAAGGATGTAACTGGACTAGACACAAGAGAAATGTATTGGATTATCAGGAAATTTGTGAGATTGCTGGTCAAAATGAGATTTTGGAGAAAGTTGTCAAGGATATTGAAGGGTTGATTCTGAACACAGCAATGTGTAGAGAGATGAATTAGAGAGAATCTAAAGCTGATAATCAGTAAATCATCGACACTGGAGGGAAGATCGGGAGGGCGAGGATGTAGTGAGACCAACAGCATGGGAGCCTGTATGTGGAACTGGTAAAAGAGGAGGGGAGGGAGGAGAGGGGAGACCAGGAGGGTGAGGATGTAGTGAGACCAACAGCATGGGAGCCTGTAAGTGGGATTGGTAAAAGAGGACGAGACCAGGAGGGTGAGGATGTAGTGAGACCAACAGCATGGGAGCCTGTAAGTGGGATTGGTAAAAGAGGACGGGGAGGGAGGAGAGGGAGGGGAGACCAGGAGGGCGAGGATGTAGTGAGACCAACAGCATGGGAGCCTGTAAGTGGAACTGGTAAGAGAGGACGGGGAGGGAGGGGAGACCAGGAGGGTGAGGATGTAGTGAGACCAACAGCATGGGAGCCTGTAAGTGGAACTGGTAAAAGAGGACGGGGATGGAAAAGGATTTGAGGTAAACTTACAAGAAGAAATGCTGCCTGAAACTTAGTATCCAGCAACCTCAACATCCAAATATCTTAACTTAACTAATTGGTGGAGTGCAGAATCTCAGTTTGAACTAGTTTGTTGAGCACTTAATCTCTCAGTGTATAATATCTGAACTTCTAACTAGTTCGTTGAGATATGATTCTCTAAACTTTTAACAAGTTTGTTGAGTTCTTGATTTTTTAACTGAACTAAAAATAATTTGTGTATTTGTGAATATTTTAACTTTACCTAGTTAGTGTAGTTCCAACTATTTTAACTTTTAATTAGTTTGTAGAGTGCAGAATATCTTAACTTTTAAATAGCGTTGAAATTCAAATATAATTTTTTAACTGTCTGGTTGAATTCGAATCTCTGAACTTGGTTCTTGAGATCAGAATCTCACTTTTAATTTATGTTAAGATTTGATTCCCTGAACTTTCCTCAAGTTTTTAGAGTGCTAAATTTCTTAATTTTAAACAATTTGTAAAGTTCTTAAACTCTTACCTGAAGCTAGTTTACAGTTCCAAATATTTTAACTTTTAACAAGTTGTTTGAGTGCGAATATTTAATCTTAAGCTAAGTTTTCTGTAACTGTTTTTAACACTACAATTTGTCAGCAAATGAATCATGAAAAAAAATTTATCCATGTATGCTAGTTCATTTTAATGTTCGTCATACAATATTGGAGTTTTGAATCTGATTAAATAAACTGTTGAATGAATTACGACTCAATTACACAATACAACTCTTAAAGGCGCGGCCATTTTTATAAAAGACCCAATTCTTTGTAATATTAAAATTTTATGCAAGTTTTTTATGTTAACGTTTTAGGAAATAATTAAAATGCTTAAGGAAAGCTAATGTTAAACAGGATTACATTTTTTATTTGTTTCGTTCATTTTTCTCGAGAAACTCTGGGATGGCTATTTTGTAAGGTATTTAATGGAGGGAGGGAAGACCAAGCGGTCATGAACCCTGTTGAAAGAGTCTCCGAAAAGAGGCATAAAATGTGTTATTCAGGCGGAAATTTCATTAATTCTTCATTTTTTTCAACATATGGCACAGGATCACAAAAGTATTAATAACAAATGCAATTTTGAGCTTATTCATGGCCCTGGTATATGTTTATTTTGTATTCCTATTTTAGGCTAAAATTTGAAAATGGACCTACGCAACAGAGCACAATGTTTTTAGTATTTCAATGATAGTTTTCATCACAACAACGACACTTTTTCAATGTAGTCCACCGCTTTTCTAATTCCCGTCATTAAAGGACAGTTTTACTCCAAAATATGATTTTTTACTGTGTCTCCTTTTTAAAGTCACCTGCGCTGGAATTATTATAACTACACACGTAAGAAGTATAAATATCGAAACAGAATGATATTTTGCATTCGTTTAGTTTTCCGCCTATTCATTTTGTTGTATCATCGCAAAGTTATTTTCAATTGAAAATATATAATCTTTTTACTAACTCTAGGGAGTCGAATACATAAACCGGTTCTGGCTGAAAAGTGAAAACGCACATTTCTTTACATTCAACTTTTATTCTAGCATCAAGATGAGGGGATGTATTCGTAGAAAGGGGGGGGGGGGAACTTGCGTGAAATTAAATGTTCAAATGGGGAGGGGTAAGATTTTATTCTGTTCCTTTTCCCATTCCATATATCATATTGTTAACCATTAATTTTAAAACCTCTATAAAATGTCGTCTTCTACTGGAATCTCCTGTCGGAGACACTCTCCTTCCCCATTCCTTTCACCTGATTCCTTTCAATTAGGCCTTTTCTCATTTCCCTCGTCCATTCCCTCTCCCTTACCCTCACATTTCTTTCATCCCCATTCCCCCCTTGCCCGTTCTCCTTACCCACTTTCCCTTCCCTTTTCTATTTCCCCTTTCCTATCCACTTTTATCTTTTCCTTTCATTTTCTCTTTTCCTTCTCATTTCCTTTTCCCTTTCCCGTTCTCTGTGTTTTCCTCTTTACCTTCCTTATTCCTCTTTCCTGTTCCCATCCCGTCCGAATAATCAGTATAACGAGAGAAGTGGAATTATACTCAACTCCAAGAATGGTTTTTGAAGGAGATGATTTCCCTGAAGGATTCAATGGAATAATCAAGTTTCATAATTTATAATAGTAAAGACTTTATAAAATTAAATTTTAATGAGTTTTCATAATCTTATCATTGGTGGTTGAAGCAGACTTACTATTTTATATTTAAAAGGTTTTTAATACAAGTAAATGTACCCTGCGTGGATTCAGTGCCAAGGGGCACTTTTTTGGACTAATAGAAAAAAATAATGCAATTTGTATTGGACAGGACAGGTGGATCTGTTTCTACCGGTCATATGTATTTTAACGCATCTGGATTCTGAAATCAATCGAAAATTTGATAACTATTGACTTTCCAGATGTTTCATGTCAAAGCACTGGCTTATTTATAACTTAATTTTTACAAAAATTTTGTTTATTGTATTTTTTTTTTTTTTATATTCTATATTTTGAATTTTGGTTTTTCTCAGATTATATATTCCATATGTGAAGTACGAGACATCGTAAAACCGAGGATGATCATTTTAGGAAAGTTAAAAAGAGAAAATAAACGGGATTGCTCTAGTTTTCTCAGATTATATATTCCATATGAAGGACGAGACATCGTAAAACCGAGGATGATCATTTTAGGAAAGTTAAAAAGAGAACGGAAACGGGATTGCTCTAGTTTTTGGACTTATGAATTTTGATAAGCTGCCGAGCTGCCGATCATAACATGTGTTGATCAGGATGCACTGTTCGAGCCGATCCTATCCACTTGGGTACTCAGTCCTGTTGGCTATATACTTTAGTTATAGTATTCATTCAAATTCACCTATTGCAAAAGAAATAACTTTGATTCGTTAAAGCTTTAAACCACAATTTAAATACATTTTTCGAAAATATTCTTATCATACAGTGATAACCAGAAAACAATATAATAGAAAGACGACATTATATCAATACTTCAGTGTATTTGATGTTACAAAGCAAATATCGTTACTAGTAATTTAGTAAAGCACACTTTAAGTGAAAAGAGTCTATTTACACTGTACAATTGCCATATCTAATGTTTATTAAACTAGTTTAAGTCCTAACTTGAGGTTAAAAGTCGTCTTCCTATTTTAGAGTTTTCTGGTTATCTCTGTATTTGTATTTTGTCCCCTGTTATCTATTTATCATATGTTATCTTGATTGTACAGGGTGTCCCACGAAACATGACAGTTGGTGGATGTTTTAATTGTCTTCTTCCATAATTTGTTCAGTTCTTTGATACCAAAAAGAATAATAAAAAAAATATCAAATGGCTGTCAAATTATATTACAATTGATTTAAAAGTAAAATATATTTAAGTAAAAGATTTGTTATCAAAATCAACTGCAACCAGTTTTTAATGTCTTATTTAGTATATTTACCGACTGTCATGTTTCGTGGGACACCCTGTATTTGCGGTCAGTGCTTAAGACTACCCGTATCACTTGATACACATATTGTTAGTTACAGGGTGTCCCAAAAAAACATGGGAATTCAGTGACGAATTCGATATCGTCTTTATGAATAATTCTTTGATTTAGTATAGTGATACCTACTGAGAAAGCTGTAATCTGTAAGAGTTTCGTCTGCTATGTTTACATTTTGTTTGTTTATGTTTTGACTGCAACCGGCTGTACTTAGTAAAACAAGAAAATTACAGTATACAAACAGAGTAAACTTGTCCGTATTCACTGTTCATCTTGCGGAGACATTATAGTCACATCTTTGCAGTCTTTTACCCTTTTCATTAAATAAACTCTAGCAGACATAATAATATTAAGGCTTTTGAAATTAGGTATTACAATGCTAATTCATAACAAAGACGATATCGAATTCGTCACTGAATTCCCATGTTTTTTGGGACACCCTGTACAAAGTAAACTCAGAATACGAATGGTTGTCTCAATCGTAGAGAGATAGATTCAGAGAGATTTAACATAGTTTTTTATGGAATACTTTTGGACGTAATGGCTTATATGGAAAATTACACCTGTGTCAATAAAGAAAAAGGATGCAATTGGACTGGATACATGATACATGATCATCAGGAATTTAAATGTAAACACTATCCTTGTGTCAATAAAGATAGTGGATGCAGTTGGACTGGATACAAGTTCAATCTATTGGAGTATCATGAATCAGTTTGTGAAAACTATCCTTGTGTCAAGAAAGATAGTGGATGCATTTGGACTGGATTCAAGTTCGATGTATGTGATCATAAGGAATTTATTTGCGAACACTATTCTAGCTGTGTTATCAAGTTCATCAGGATTATCAGAAATTTATTTATAAAAATCAGACAAATATAGTTTGAGGCCAGTTTTGAGTTCCTTTATCCTTATAATGTCACAATATAATTTACTTATTTTATTTATTTACTACATTTTGTATTTTTTAGGAATGATGGTGTTGCAACAGCAATTGCTATATTGCAGTTTTTAAGGATTTTGAGATCATAATTGAGAATGACAAAGATATGGTTGTTGAAAGGCATAAAATGCATAATTAAGACTCGTGTTTCATTCATATTTTTATTTAACTACATTTGTCAATTGATTCATTGATGGGCGAACTTGTTGATTGATAGTTGATAGCTCCTCTACACCAAAACATGTAGTCTCAAAAAATTAATTTATATCAAACCTATTAAATATAGTTTTAGTGGGAAAAATATTAGCATGACATTGTTTGTTGTTTAATAAAATAAATATTGTTGTAACATTGTTTTACTGTATAAAATAAATATTGTAACATTGTTATTTGTTGATTTGATTCACTTGTATAAAACATTATACAGTTAGTATTTTCCTTTTGTTGGAGAGTACGGAGAAAATTGACTGAGAATTGATTTGGTTTGGAACTTCTCTGGGGCTTTGGTAAATATGACTTACGGGGNTTATTTCACTTTAAAGCACGATGATTACTTCATTATAATATACAGCTTATTTCACTTTAAAGCACGATGATTACTTCATTATAATATACAGCTTATTTCACTTTAAAGCACGATGATTACTTCATTATAATATACAGCTTATTTCACTTTAAAGCACGATGATTACTTCATTATAATATACAGCTTATTTCACTTTAAAGCACGATGATTACTTCATTATAATATACAGCTTATTTCACTTTAAAGCACGATGATTACTTCATTATAATATACAGCTTATTTCACTTTAAAACACGATGATTACTTCATTATAATATACAGCTAATTTCACTTTATAGCACGATGATTACTTCATTATAATATACAGCTAATTTTACTTTATAGCACGATGATTACTTCATTATAATATACAGCTAATTTCACTTTATAGCACGATGATTACTTCATTATAATATACAGATAATTTCACTTTATAGCACGATGATTACTTCATTATAATATACAGCTAATTTCACTTTATAGCACGATGATTACTTTGTCAATAATAAAATTCACAATTAAGTGGGTAAAGAATTTCGTTGGAATAAAAATGACTTCGCTAACATTCAATTTAATCAGACGTATGGCGAAAAATAATTTATAGTTTACATGATTTGATAGATTTAATAAAATAATCCGCACGGTTTAAACGAGGGAGGGGGTGCAGCTGCAACCATCAGCCCCGCGAACTGACCTCCGCAGAATGACCAGGACAATGTTGCGGAGGTTTGAAGACATAGCGTGAGGCACGGAAATGAATTTGATTGGCTTGGAGGTCTGCGAATCCGGAGGTTAGTTCGCGGAAGCTCATGGTTGCTCTGCACCCCTCCCTCTTTGAACTTGAAACAATTTTTATACTTAACACTGTGCACTGAATTTGACACGAAAAATCAATTTAGACAAATTTGTAGTAAAGGAAAAGGAGGATTCTTAAAATATAATTTTGTAATAGTAATAGAAATATCTGATTTCTTAAAATTAAAGTTTTACTTGTTATATTAAGATTATTTAAGATAATATATTTTTTTACTTACAAAAACTAGTTTTAGTAGAGGACTGGTGTGAAGGCAGTTGGATCAATTTTCATGAAAATTTTACTCCTAATATTATTTTCTTTCTTAAAGGATGGGGTTAACTCTGAAGAGAAAAAAGGTAGCTAATAATCAAATTTAGTTGCACTATGTAACCTAACCACTAAACATTGTGATTATAAAGTGATAACCAGAAAACTAGAATAGGAAGACGACATTAAAGTAATACTGACGTACATTTATTGTTGATTCAAAGCAAATAGCTTTACAAGTAAGTTATTTAATCGCTTATGAAGTGAAATGGGTCTGTTTACACTGCACGATTGCGGCGTCTCATGCTCATTATTCTACTTAAATTAAATTCAAATTCAAGCCATTACTCGAGTTTTAAAGTTAACTTCATATTCCAGAGTTTTCTAGTTATCACTGTGTATTTGATAAGTAAAGGGGCGACTCATACAGTGGTCACCATAAAATAGTGGAATGACTGGTGACTTCATTCTCCACTTTATTTTTATAAAATATTATTATGGATAAGTGTACCGGTTAAAACTGATATACCTATAGATATAACTTGTAGTTCTTAGGGTCCATTTTGATGCCATGAACAGTTTTTAGGATATACTGATTTTTTAGCAATCGAAAATTTTTAAATTTTGCTTTTTTGTATGTCAAAACGTAATGAACCAATCAGAGAAAAGGAAATTTTTTTTATATTCTCTGTTTTTTAACAGTTCATATTTACATTTGATATTTTCCCTGTGGGACCGGATCCGGATCCAGGAAGCCAAAATGTTATGTATTCGGGTCCATAGTTTAAAGAAAGAATAAATATATAATGATAGTAATAAAATATTGAATATGAAGGGGACTGTAGACGTAATTTAAATCAACTTCTCATTTAAAGAGTATCGAGCCCGATTCATGATGGTACCCTTAAAACCTGTTTCTGACCAAGAAAGAATAAGATATTCATCTTTACTTTTTTAAAATCATTATTTTTAATTGTGGGTTCTCTACAAAACTGACTAGAGCATTCCTGCTACTGCAAGAAAAAGAATGTAAACATTATCAGAATTAAAAATTTTAAAAATAGAAAAATTACCTTATCTTCCACACTATAGATTATAGTTTCAAGAGTACCGTTGTGAATCAGGCTTGTCCCTCTTTAAATGGTCGGTAACTTGAAACTACAATTACAGAGAAAACATTTATCAATCTAATGAGAGTATTTGATGCTGGAGAAAAAAGCTTCAACAGGAATTGAAAAATCGACTCATTAAATGAAATGCCTGTGCAGTCATTTGCAAAACTCCTGTATTTTATGTTCTTTGTTATATTTTGAGTCTTATAGTTGTCTACCTCTTCCAATGTTTGATGAATCTCAATGTAGAAGCCGTAGATTTAAAGGGACTGTTAACGTAAATTCTGCAAGCGACCCTTTATTTTAGAGTGGCATGTTCAATTCATAACAGTACCCTTTAAACTCTCAATTGATGAAGGATATCGGACTTATTCTTCTTAATCTACAAAAACGATTGCAAATATTAAACCTTGTCTGCAAACCGTTTTATATAAAAGAAATATTAATATTTAATTTATTGAAGTCGCAGAGAATTAAAATTAAACTGTAGAATTTTGTTTAAAATCGCTTAGAACGCAATACATTCAGTATTTTTAAGGGACACAGTTATTGTCAGCTGAGTTGAGTTTTCACCAAGGTTGATAGTAAAGTTGATTTCTCTCAATGCGCACCAATGTCCGGAAAATGTCGTCTCCTTAGGATAGATAGATAACAACCTCATATGACGTCACTCTTGCCTCTATGAGTCTATAATCAGTGAGCTGTCATTTGAGGTTTTTTGCTAATCTTTATCGGAGACGACATTTTCCGAACATTGGAGCGCACCGAGAGTAGCCAACCTTATTATACAACCTTGCTCTGATCTTAGCATAGATAGATAAAATCCGCAGATGACTTCACTGATTATGGGGAATAGATTCAAATGCTGATTCTATCTATGCTAATGTGACGACATTTTCCGTAAGCAACCTTGGTTCACACTAGCTAGCGTGCACTCCGCCATTTCGGGAATTCGAACAATAATTGATACTTGAAATTACACTTACGGTTCCTTAAAGTATAAGTACAAAAGTATTAAACTGCAGGTGGGATCAGTACTGAAGAAGATGGTAATGCTGAAAATGATGACGACCTTGTTCATCAGGAAAAACCAGAGGTCAGGCCTTTTGTTTTCTTAATCCCTAATACGTATTTATAGTTTATATAAAGCCCATCTCTCATATAAGAATACATATAGCAAGAGCGTATGAAATGTCGTCTTGATAATATTTAAAAATTTATGACAGCTGTTATGCTTCATCTTGGTCTGCTCAAAAAGACTTCAAAGTTCATGTATATTTTTCATAGCAAGCTGGATCTATGTGCACTAGCCTGGTTTGTGGGCAACTTTGCAAATTTTGCAATTTCCCAATATATTTTTAACTTTAGAAACTTTTGAGGAAAATAAAATGAATTCATGGAGAAAAAATATTAAAACCTTGCTGGTTTTAGGTCCCTGAAAACTCAAAAAAGTTGACGGCAATCAGCCTGATTTATTATTTTTTTTTAGAGTTTTCTGGGAGAACTGCAACAACATTTTGAGGACTGGGCACACGGTTAGTGTATTTTAAAACATGGGGGGGGGATTAGGACACATAAATCTGAAAGGAAGACGACTTTTAAGAAATATGATGTGTATTTGATGTTGTTTTAAACAAAAAACATTTATGAGTTGCTTGAAACTCAACTTACTAAATGAAATGGGTAAAATCGTTCTATATTGTTCTATACGTTCTATACGTTCATTGGAGTTACTATTTATAAAATATTTAAGATCATAACTTGACTTCAAAACTAAAAGTTGAGTCTTTCTATTCCACAGTTTTATGTGTTCGACAGTATAAATATTATATGTTACAATGTTACTCTCAAAAGATGAGACGATGGCGATATAACGATAATGAAATAACAAACATATTTAACTGCAGGGTACAAGTAATTTGAAAAAAAAGACGGATTGAATTCCGTACAGTCGTCTCTGAAGTTTCATCTTTGGTGGGTAAACACTTAGAAATCTGGAAAACAAGGGATTTAATTTTTAAATGAATGTAATGAATAACTAACAATTAAACCCTAAATGAACGATACTTTGATAGAATTCATCAAATGTCGTCTTAACAATTTTTCAATTGGTTTTTACTATTTTACCTAAATCTCAGTATTTGCGAAAATTAATAAAAAGCCATGAATATGCGAAGACAAATTTAAAGAGCTCCATATAATCATTTAATTAAACAACTAAATATCTGCAGCACTCCATTATCAAAACGTGAAGAATACGACATTTGATGAATTCTTTCGATGTATGGCTTGTTTAGGGTTCAACTGTATTATTAGCAGTTGTTCTGGAATTTTCTCTAACTTACACATTACCCAAAGAACCTGTTTCAATACGATTAACATACCAACTATTTCAGAGGGAAATGTCAAATGATTGTAGTCTTTTTAAAAATTTTCATAAAATATCAGTTGTAATGTAATTATCAAACAGTTGTTATCCCTAAAAGGCATAGAGTACTCTATTTTAAAGGGACTGCAAGCGCAATTTCGACTCAAGTGACCCTCCATCCATACAAAGATGACAATTCACGATTTACAACGGTATCCTTAGTAAAAGCTTTGTCTGATAAATTAGAATTTCATGTTTTTGTTTCTTTAAACGGTTATATTTTCATTTGTGGTTTCTCTGTGGAAGTCACAGTTGCGCATTTCTGGCTAAATAAGAGTAATGGAGAAATTATCACTTTTCGAGTCACAAAACGATAATATTATACTTCACGTTAGGATCAGATTAAGTGTTTCGAGTCACAAAACGACAATATTTTACTCCACGTTAGGATCAGATTAAGTGTTTCAAGTGTGCCGTTGAACATTGGACAAATTGTCGTCTTTGCATGGAGGATCACTTGAAATTACAAAGTTCTTTTAAGGAAACTTTATAATCAAAATAAAGACTAAATAAAGCCAATTTCTGTATTTATCTAATTTTCAGACTTGATAATACCTCAAAATGGAACCTTTCAGGGATAATACACAATTTTTATTTAAGAAATTTAGTTAAAATTTTCTTTCAAATGCCCGTAAAATGGAAATAAAAGACATGGAGACCTGGATTTGATGGAGAAATGCTGTTTTTCATGTTTAATGGACTTTTTAAATAAGTAAAATCTAACAGTTGTCTTCTAATAACAGTTTTCTGGGTTTACAATATTAAACTATATAGACAATTCTTAAAAGATAATGATTCCAGGATTTTGGCACACAAAATGTAAACAAATTCGAGCCTTCCTTTGTTTCCCTTTTTATCAATAAAGGGACTGAAGCGTCATTTCAAATGATCCTCTATGCACAGATAGCAATTTCCGATTTACAACGGTACCCTTGAAACCTTAATCTAAACAATATATGGAAGATACAATCGTTTTCCTGACTCGAAAAGTGATAAGAAATGATCTAGACACTTTCGCAGAGAACCCCCAACTTTAGATAAACAGTTTGAAGACTGAGAAAGATAGATATCTAATTTATACTTGATCAGTTAAAGTTTTCAAGGGTAACGTTATTTTTGTTTGAAGGTCATTTGAAATTACGCGTACAGTCCCTTTTAGTTTGAAAAATTGTATTCTCAGAGAGATCTTTATGATACCATCAAAAATAACTTCAAATATATTAAGTATATATTTTTTTTAATTCCATGAACTGCACAAATCATAATACAGTGAAAACCAGAAAACTGTGGAAAAAATGTCGTTTTTGTTTTGTTTTAAAATTTAGATATATCCTTGAAAATATACTGGGTACCAAGGTTATACTGGAAAGAAAGTTAATTGCAGTTGCGTATACTCTGCGTACTTATTAAAACCAGTTCTCTCTGGGTGGACTTTGTAAACAAGAATAGATGTATCAGTAGTTTAGTATCTGAGGAGGATAAAAGCATTTAATTTTGATAAATTTGATAATTCCATAATAGTTTCCTTTGATTAGAATATTTCAATGATTTTTTATGTGAAAGATGGATCCCTTGTCCGGCTGTGACATCCGTCTTGTGTTTACATGACCGCCCAGAGACAGTACACTGCATGGTACTATATTAGAAATACTTAATTAAATAACAGTACAAAAATGAGAATCCACTATTTTCCGGTTCTCACTTTGAATTGCAAAATTACCATTGGTTTGATTTTTTATAGATTATTGATTAATAGAATCGATCATACAGGGTTACCCAAAAAGGATAAAACTGTGTAAAAACTACTAAAAATATATGACGATCCTAAGGTTAAATTAAGTCTCATGGCTCCTATAAAGTCATTTAATGGGTGATTAGATTATTTAGCAAAAAAGATTATTTGGCGAAGAAAGGCACAATTTACAGTTTCGAGGAATCATGAATATGAGGAATCGGACTTAAGAATTTTCATGCAGTCGTCTCTCTGAATTCTAATCCTTTATGGGTAACACTTTATCTATAAAAAAGTATCTGCTGATTAATTAAAAAAAAATGATGATATACAGGGTGTCCCACGAAACATGACAGTTGCAAGATGACATGAATGTCGTCTTCGGCCGTTGAAATAATTGGAGAGATTTATTCGTAAGCCTAATTTAAAAAGTATAAAAGTCTAGAATCAATAATCACAAACTACCTCCAGTCTTGATATTTCTAAAATGTGTCTGCTTTTTTTTGAGTTTTCAATACTACCGGAGATATGTAGAATTTTCTCAAGGTTTCGAAAATGTTGGTTTTATTTAGAAATATTAAAATCTGAACGAAATTTTTAATATCTCCCGTAATATTGACAGTACAAAAAAACGCAGACCACATTTTGACCAGGGGATTTCTGTGGTTATTGTATAGAATTGGTAGTGTAATAATATATGTTAAAGTAGGTTGGCGAAAGAATATTACAAATAAATTCAAAGTTAAAGACGACTTTTAAGTCGTCTTTCAACTGTCATGCTTCGTTGGATTTAGATTTGTCCAATTTTTCCATAGGAGACATTTTTTTATTTAAGATTGTTTCTGAAGATAATACGCGGGGGCATGAGAGTTCTATACACAGAGATACGTGAGCTAGTAATTCAAGAGATACCTCTAGCTCTAGGTAGAGTACAGAGATACGTGAGCTAGTAATACAAGAGATGCCTCTAGCCCTAGGTAGAGTACAGAGATACGTGAGCTAGCTAGTAATGCAAGAGATACCTCTAGCTCTAGGTAGAGTACAGGGTTACCCATTTAAAGACGACCTAAAACCATTAAAATATGACGATTTAAAGGTTAAACTAACTTTTGAATATAGTTGTTAATAATGGCTTATTTAATAGTTCTACCAGTTCACAGTTGCAGGAATATTGAATGTAAGGAAACCGACAATATATATTTGGTATAGTCGTCTCTGAAGTCTTATCCTTAGTGGGTAACCCTGTAGGTTTATCTGTATACGGTGTTCATTAAAAAATAGAAATGGTTCGACGAAAGGTATTGATCTGAAAATCTTCTGACAAAAACTAAGGGCTGATTTTTTTTATTGTTTTACAATACACATTTCAAGATATTGATTCGAGTATTTAATTATTGGTAAAGTTTTTAATTTGAGTTTTTGTATTTGCAGGAATGGAAAATACATCAAAACAATTTGGCGTGGAAGATGAGAAAGAAAAAACTGCAGATTCTGAAGAGCATTGGTGGGGTGGATAAAGAATCCGTCGGACAATAATGATCCCCTGTAATGCAGAGATGATACTATGGGTTTCCGAATAAACATGAAAATAAACCAATGATTTCTAAATCATCTTTGTACACTATTTTTGATTTGGTATGGTATTACCTAGTAAAACCGTAAATGTTTCATTTGCTTGAGTTCGGAATTTGTTTGTCTCGCCTGCATATTAAAATAAATGAAAACTTCCTGTATACAAAGTAAGTTTTCCCTCTTCACTGTTTATCAAGCAGAAATGTTACAGAAATATTACTGGTTAAATAAACAAACGTTTACTTGAATGCGGGCACCATAGGTTCAGCAGAAGTAAATATTTCCATTTACTGTTAGCGCCGATTAAAGGATTCATAACTCTAATTGGATAATGAGATAGATAGAAAGATAGATGAAATGTTACAGAAATATTACTGGTTAAATAAACAAACGTTTACTTAAAATATTCTCACACGTAACTTTATTTTGAAATAAGGTACAGGGTTACCCACAAAAGACGAGACTTCAGAGACGGCTTAACGAATAATTATTCCGTCTTTTTCTACATTCTTTGTCAAATCAGTTACAGTGATTACTCTAATATAGAAAGACGACTTTTCAACAATACTTCAGAGTATTTCATGTTTTTACAAAGCATAAAGTTTTACTAGACCATCATTGAATTACTGATGGAGTGAAATGGGTTTGTTAGCACTTCACAGGTTCTGTGTCCTATGCTCATCAGGCTATTTAAAGTCATAACTTATTTCCAAATGTCGTCTTCCTATTTCAGAGTTTTCTAGTTATCACTGTTATTATACCAATTAAAGTCTAAATCAAAGTCTGAAGACCAAGTTAAAGCTTCAATTCGACAGAATAAAGGATTATTAGATCGTTTTTAAAGTCCCATCCTATGTGGGGTCAGCCCTGTATTTCAACCAAGACGTTCTCAAAGTCGTTTCTTAGTTCCATGTTTTTGGGACACTCTGTATAAAGACATCTTGAAGATTTGGTTTGCGTTTTTGCCTAAAAAATAGACGTATTAATATATATATATGTCTGTAAATGACTTCTCAAACAAAGAAACGAGTCAAAACAAGTACTGAACTAATTCTGCAAAGGACGGAAAAAATCGTTTCAGACCAGACGATTTTAGAATATTTGTAAATTATAGAACTTTGAGAATAAAAACTTTGGGGTTTGAACAGTTGGATGTTTACCACAATATTTTATTTTTATTTGCAGTAAAACTACTCTTATATAACGCAATATTTAAGAAGTCTCTTTTAAATGAAAGAGAAGGACCTAACCAACCCTAAAGATCTGACTTATGGCGTTCTCGCAAAGCAGTTATTTCTGAATGGGGCTGAAAATGTAATTTCAAGTGACCCTCAATGCAATCAATGATTGTTCAAAGAAAAAAACAGGGTTTTCCACGTAACATGACAGTTGGTGAATAGATTAAAATGTCTTCTTCCATACTTAACTAAGTTGCTTGATTAAAGAGAATGGGGAAAATATTGTATGCCAATTATATTATTGTAAAATTGATTTCAAAGTAAAATATATTGAGAAAAAGATGTTTAACGAAATGACATGCAAAAAGTCTTTAATATCCAATAAACTAAATAAAAGAAGACATTCAAAACTAATCAACAACTGTCATGTTTCGTGGAACACCCTGTAAATAAATCAATGGTCAATACTGTAACAAAGACAACGAGGATATAATAAGCAGGAGAGAAACTGTGAGAAAGTATGTCCATTCCAGAATAAAAAGCAGAAATCAAAAGCTAAAACTTAAATACTTTCTTTTGAAACATTAAAGCTCTTAAACCCTAGTTACCCTTTATCTCACCCTTTATACATGTCAATCATAAACATTAATTTTTAAAATTTCTTTACTATTCGTAAGAGTGAGTTTATTAATAGTTTTTTTCAATTCGCATTGATGATAATTTACTAAATTTACTAAGTAAATTATCATCAAATTGTTTGATATATTTCATACAGTATATTTTAAAATTATATTTCTGCTTGCTAAAAACGTTTTGTATCTAGGAAATACCATTGCATCATGACAAGTACAGAGCGTCCCATATCATTTTAGATTATCTCCAATCTTTAAGAGCCAAAATACGCACATAATACTCAAAAAATCTAGCATTTTCTGCAAAAAAAATTTTGTTTAGCCTTTTTAAATTTCTTAAAATGTTTCATTCTTCTTAAATTTTCTGATTTATCCCCCAAATTGTAATTTAGACCCATTACCGCGGTCTAATTTGATGTGGGACACCATGTACATAAACATTTTTATAAAATTGCCTACAGAGTACAGGGTGTCACACGAAACAGGAAAGTAGCAAGACGACTTGAAAGTCGTCTTTGATTTTGGAATGTATTTGTGACATTCAGTCGTCAATCTACAGGGTGTCCCAAAAAACATGGGAATTCAGTGACGAATTCGATATCGTCTTTGTCATGAATTAGCAGTGTAATACTTAATTTATGAAAAGGGTGAAACACTGTAAAGATGTGTCTATAAGATGAACAGTGAAGACGGACAAGTTTACTCTGTTTGTATACTGCAATTTTCTTGTTTTACTAAGTACAAATGTATGCAGTCAAAACATGAACAAACAAAATGTGAACATAGCAGACGAAAATCTTATAGATTACAGCTTTCTCAGTAAGTATCACTTTCCTAAATCAAAGAATTATTCAAAAAGACGATTTCGAATTAGTCACTGAATTTCCATGTTTATTGGGACACCCTGTACATTAACATGTATTATTCTTGAAACAATGACAAAAAGAAGATCTTTAGTCCTGGCATTGCCAAGTTGTGGTCTGCCTTTCTTGTGATTTCGATATTACCGGAGATATTAAGAATTTCATCCAAATTAAAATTTCATTGAAGGGAGTGTTCGGGAAAAATGAAAGGGGGTATAGGCTTAATGCGATAAAAAAGCGCTTTTGATCGCTAATAATCTTACTTCTATCTGTTGCGTCTATAAGGAGAAAATTGTTAAAGACGTCTCATACCGAGTAACATGGCGTCCATACAAATTGAGAAAATTGCAATATACGAGTTAGACCGCAAAAAATCAATTTAATTTCAAACAGATATCACAACCTATAGTCATCGATTATCTTTCGCCACATTTGTATATATCTGATATTTCAAACTAGTTTTGATTTTGTTTTTTAAAATAATATTTAGCTTACAACTTGTTTTCGAACATTCCTGGAAAATATGAAAATGTCATCTTCATTACCAAAAATCCTCGAAACAGGAATAAATGTAACTCTCAGATCATAACAATTAAAACATATTATGAAAAATCAACTATATATAAATGTGGCGAAAGATAATCGATGACTATAGGTTGTAATATCTGAATGATTTGTTTGAAATTAAATTGATTTTTTTACGGTCTAAGTCGTATGTTGCAATTTTCTCATTTTTTATGGACACTACGTTCTTCGGTATGAGACGTCTTTAACAATTTTCTCCTTACAGACGCAACAGATAGAAGTAAGATTTGTAGCGATCAAAAGCGCTTTTTTATCGCATTCAGCCTATACCCCCTTTCATTTTTCGCGAACACTCCCTTTAAATAAACACCGATATTGTCGAAATCTTGAGGAAATATCTCCGGTAATATTGATACCACCACAAAGGCAAACCGCAATTTGGAAATCACGACAATATTGGTATTATGTGATTATTAGAACTCTACTTCTAAAATTAGATTTACGAATAAATTTTGCAAAAGATCCAAGATGACCTGCTACTGTCATGTTTTGTATAACACTAAAGCTCGGTACAAATTATAATCTCTTCCACCTTTTCGATAAAAGTCAAAATATAATAACGTAACTTAATAAAACTGTGAAACAAAATAGAATTGCAAATAAAAGTTAATTCAGATAAAAAATATAATATGAATATATGAATTTATGATTTATCAACCGAATAATAAGTAATGAAATAAGGATAAAATAACAAGCTTAGCACATGTGAACACTCAATATATCAACGTGTCTAAATATTTATTTTTTCTAAAATTTATATAAATTAAACGACAGATTTGATAAAATTATTTGCAACATCCAGTCTCCACGTCGTAGTAGCATCAAAACTCTGAAACAAAGTTAAAAGATAAAAAATTGAACACAAACTGCAACGTAACAAAGATAAGATGAAAGCAAGAAAGCCTTAAGAAAAATACAGATTTTAGCTTGAAATGCTTGGGATTACTTTCGGAGGCATTCCTACAATAGTTAATTCCTCCGTTAGTATCCAGTATCCAGTATCCAATTAACCGAATACTCAAACACAAAAACAATTTCAAATTAAACAAACGGAATGAATAAGAGTAAAATATATATATTCTGGCTGTAAATAGATCATGTTAAAAAAAATAACTTTAAAAGTAAAGGACTGTAGAAGGAAGTTTAAGTGTCCCTGCATTAAAAAAGAGGATTGCTTTAAACCTATAAAATAAGAGATATCTTCGTTTTATTATTATAAAATTCAGACAATTTCTTGCATTGTAATAATAATTTTGCAGACACTTTGGCGAGAATCCAAAAATGAAAATAACAAATATTTCTATAGTCCTAAAAAATAAGAATATCTCATTCATTGAAGATCCGACAAAGTTTAAGGAAATAGGAAATACAATTCTTCAAAAGATGTATTGACTTAAAATTACAGTTACTCTCACTTAAAAGTATGTAATTGACTATTTTAGGGTTGGATATTCAGTCGCATTTTGTTGGTAGACTTTTTAAATTTAAAAGTTTGGTAGATTTTCCTGCAGATTTGGTTTGGTTTGGTTTTGTAACTCCCTCTACATCTTTACCTAACAGTATTATTGGAATAAGACTAATATCTACTGTAGGTAAAGATAAAGAGAAAATACATTCTTTTCTTCAGCTTGCATTGAATTCAAATCACTTCTGGAGGATGAACTTAGATGGGTTGAAGTAGCGGGTGGAAGAGACACGCCCCACTCTAGCTATGCTGACGGTGGAGTTGACACGCCCTAGTTGTAGATGAACTGTGTTCTCTAGTTGGCTACCAAGTAAATACTGTGTATTATAGAATAGTCTCTGCAGATTTTCTAGTTTTTATCAAGATATCTTATCACATGTTTAAGATACACGAGCCTGGGCTTGTGTTCAGTAAACGGGATGAGAAGAGAGGGGTTTATACCAGATAAAATCTTGATAGTGAGTCTCAAACCAGATAATATTTCAATAAATCAATAATCTTGAAAATAAATAAATTTAACATATCTAACGGTTCTTCTTGCACATTTTAATACAAAATAAACAATATGCAGATTTTACTATTACAGAATTTAGATACTCACACCACTACAGCATCAAATCATGAATGAAAAGATAAGTTTTAAATCATTTGCAAGTACAGACTAATATTGCGATGAATTATCAAAGAATTCAAATTCGTAAGATTTGTTCAGTTGAGTTATTATTTTCTTCAATTATTTATATTTTACTGTATACATTATTTTTGATTACGATGGGTGGAAATTTGAGATAAGAGAAAAACTCATTTTTGTGATAAGTCCGGTTGGATAAAATACAAGTTCTGTTGCACTGTCTGAGCAAGAGTTAAATATACACAAGTTTCATTGAACATGTATAATGTATAATGTATAATGTATATAATGTATAGTGTATATAATGTATATAATTTATAGTGTATATAATGTATATAATGTATATAGTGTATATAATGTATATAATGTATAGTGTATATAATGTATATAATGTATATAATGTATGTAGTGTATAGTGTATATAATGTATATAATGTATAATGTATAATGTATATAATGTATAGTGTATATAATGTATAGTGTAAAGAATGTATAATGTATAATGTATATAATGTATATAATGTATAGTGTATATAATGTATATAATGTATATAATGTATATAATGTATAATGGA